CAACGACAACGTGTGATGACGGACAGACTGATCCTTAAGTGTTCGCCATGCTTCACAGGCTGCACGACAAAGCACAGAAAGGGAGAACAGTGAAGAAAGAAAGGAAAGATTTAAGATCCCAAGTGTGTTGTTAAATGTCCCCCAAGTAGTAGACATGAAAGAAAATCCTCGATTCTTCAGGGGGCCAACTTTTACCCAAAGTGATACAGAAAAGAAATGTAGTAAACAATTGATGGTAAATTTATCAAAAACATCCTCCTTAGAGAGTATGTTCTAGGCATGATCGTATAGAAGCTTTGTAATACTTCAAACTCTTTCAAACGCGCATCGAGATTAGGTCCTGTTTACAAAATGGCGATAGGAAGTAGCAAGGTGGATTAGATTGGAACTTCAAGTGATTGTATTTCGGCAAGTTCAAAAGCCCGCGTGGTCAGATCATCTAATTTGGATAGTTACTCAACATGTTTGTTAAGATAGATGTGACATAGAGGTCCAGTGACATGTAATCCCTGACGAAGGGCTAAGCCCGAAAGCTTGGAAAAGAGTGACTTACAAGTTCGGTAATATTATTCAAATTATTCATACATGTATAAAATATGAAATCAAAGAACATAGTTAGTCAATGTATGTTCAAAAAATGTAAACAAGGATATCGTCAACACGTCAATAGAGACTTGATTATTTCATCTTCTAAATGTAAATTTGTCAAACTAATTCTGGTTACAATATGATTCTTAAATGTTGTACTAATTTCTTGTACGTAGCTATCATCATCGACAGCTATACCTTGTATCTACGTCTTTGTAGACATACTGTGCGCGGTACTTATTAATGTCATTGATGGAATGTAGCGGTCAACTCATAATGTCAGCCTTGTTTCTTTCACATGTTATCAGATTATGTAACGTGTTGAACATAAAATCCCATTCACAGGTGTCAAAGGCTTTGATCCCTCCATATTTAATTGGTTTCATTTCAAATATATTTTATTGATTAAACAAAAGGATTGAGCAATAGGCTTTGCCTATATAAGCTCTCTCCATGGCTTCCAGCATACTTTTGATATTTGAAGACATTGAATACAATATTTACATACATACATTGTATTTCAACTCATCTCATGACACATGGATACATTTATTGCTAGGTAATAAACATTTAATTAGGCTGGCTTAATATTTTCATGTTTTTACAGAAAAAAAAAATCCTTGGAGAAAGAAAAAAAAACTAACTTTGCGATATTAATATTTAATATAGTTGTAAAATTTGTGCCAAGAAGAATTTAATATACTGTTATGAATATACACAGTTTTCAAATCGAATTAAATATATGGATATACGTCTTGAACTTGAGCAACTTAAATTTGCTATGGCAACATGAAATAAAGCAAAACTGATACATGCATGTATTCTGATAAAGAAATGTACCAGGACTTATTTGAAGTAGACATGTCTTGAGATGAGTTGGAAAATCAAATAGAAAATTAACTAAAAGAAAACAGAAAAATATATATATAAAAATAATAAAAATAAAAAAAATAAAAATATGAAAACCCAAAAAGACATTAACAATTATATAAGGACACAAAATATTCTTAATCACTCACTCATACACTCTAACACCACATTTGTATCTACATGCATGGGTTTGTTGGTTTATTTAATGTGCAGTTGGGCATTAAATATGATATCAATGTACACTAGTTCACAGGATACAAATATGTGGCATATTGGTATTTCATAATAAATTATTAATTTTTTAATAATTAAATAAATTATAACTATTGATTTACATTACTCCATCATACCTTAAGTGTCATGACCACATAAAGTCCCTGGACATTTGTTGCCCTGTGATCAATCAGCATTGGTATATTATATGTAAATATATATATTCATTATCCACTATCAACAGAATTTATCTTACAGAATACGAAGAATACACCAACCACATACAGCTTGTATATTTATCTATTTAAACCGTCCTGTAGCATTATTGTATTTATGCACACACTCCATCAATTGATTGTTCTGTAAATCACTTTTACTAGTGTTTCCATTTATAATAGTACTTAAAGGTATTGTATTATGGAAATCTTCATCATTTAATATAAGATCCTGCATAAAAGTTTGTCGTTCTTATGTATAGAGAGGACATTCAAAAAAGAATTGATAAGAGTTTTCAATTGCATGACTACAAGGACAGTTTGGACTATTTTTCAAGTGATCTTTAAACAGATCATAGTTTAGTTGACTAGCACCATTTCTTAATTGACACATTAATATATTACTTTTTCGTGAACCAGAGTATTTAAATACAGGTGTACATACATTTTGTTCTGTGTCCCCTACAATTAACTTTTGTATTTCCCTTTTAAAAGTAATAATATTTGTAATATTAGTAAGGTTATTATTGGCACTGTTCCATATGTTCATCATACTGGGAAAAAACCTATTAGCATATAGTGTGGTTCTAGGAAGGGGCTCATTGAAAACTCTTGAGTGCCTAAGATTGTATGTATTTTCTTCTGGGTTTAATATATATGGTTGAATAATTTCATGTAGATAATTTGGGGTCATATTTAATTGGTCTGTGTATCTGATTTTTAAATAGCCTTGTTAATCCATACTAATCATAGAAGGTAGTACTTTATGTAGACGTTAAGCTAATTGATGTGCTGCCTTTTCGTATTAAACATTTAGTAGGGTGATAGGTCTCCAAATTTCTTATAAATCCCGGTGTGCTGACAATATCATGACTTCATCATTACACAGGTGACGTCATTTTAATGATCATCATTTCAAAGGTGACGTCTTCTTTAATTACATTCTGTCTACGTAAGCTTACATTTTCTTGTGTTTTGGAATACAAGGACTAAAGTGCATCTCCTTGCCTAACACTACATATTTCAAATGCATATTTGGTATAAGTTTCAATTGTTCAAATAGATACTTTTCTTGAGGCTTATAGACTTAAAATTACCAGGAAATGAAACTTCATATATTTAATTAAACATTTTACAGTAGTTGTGATGGCAAATGCCATTTTTTATTTGTAAGTTAACTTTGATAAGTCAGAAAACAAATAAGGACCTGGAACTCACTTCAGTCCCAGGTTTTAAAGCAAATATTATATGATATATATAATATACAATATCAACTATTGATATCTGATACTTATATCATATAAAGGGTGTCCTGGATCTTTTAATTCACTTACAATTGAGAGATATTTAAAATTGCAAAGTTTGAGATGTGTCCAGAAGCAATAACTCAATGTAAAACAAAAGGAAAGTGTGTAGTGAATACGCATTTTATGTATGTGTACTCAAATGAGTAAAGTTGTAAATTTCAACTCAAAATATAGGTTCGAAAGGAAACAATTAAGAAAACAAAACACCTTTTCTTTGAAATTTACCTAAAACAACCCCCTGGCTTAATACTCCGTTTTATGTAAACAATCTTTCAGCGTCGATTGATTTCTGTCATTTTTCATTCTTTTATCAATGCCTGTTCAATTTACTCATGTTTCCAAAAACAGAAAAGGTAATTTTGTTGTTGTTTTACCTTATTTGAAAACATCAAAATATATTTGTAATTTCCCCTTCCCCTTTAAGTACCCCCCCCCAAAAAAAAACTTTCGTTCAAACTTTTACCTTAGTTTTTGCACAAGTAATACAATAGGACATCTTTGCACAATTTAAGGAGGTAAAAATCTGAACATACCGGGATCCACAAAAGGGTCTTATAGACACTCATCCTTTATAACTTCATGATATTACAAGCCTCCAAAATATATATTCTTGCACGCTACAGATGATGTTTTACGACATATAATCTGATCGGCAAATGTTTTATCACCTCATAGTAATAGTAAAATGTTGTAAGAGTCGGTTTCATTATTTCTGTGATGTTAAATAGAGGACTTTAACTGACCAAGACTTATTGTATACTTTCATGAAATGATTTCCGCCATTTTTATTCATTTCTGATGTTGTTCACTACCTCGATTTGTTCTATATTTTCAGAAACATGATAATGGCGACATCCTTATAAATAACAAACCGTTGTTGACCGTTAGTATATATTGTTATTTATATTGTTAAAGACGTAAATATTAACTAAGAATACAAATATAATAAAAGTAGATATATAGCTTAGAAACAAATACCTTTCAAAACGAATTTGAAAAATTCGCCTCCGTGGCACACAACTGGTTAAATGACCTACTAACTTTGTAACGATCCATTCTAGCATGCTACCGACAAAATATCCTCACCGAGATTAATTCCAAGTGGATTATATGTGTATGGTAGTGTTAAGGTCATACTTGCCGGATTTAATTGCTTTAAAACAAACATCGTTAAAGAATATATTGTTGTGATTGATCACAAACTGTCAATTTATGCAGGCTAAACATCAAGGTTAAGCAGGTCAAAATCTACATTCCATTTCTGTAAAACATTTGACTTTATAAAGGGCACCTAAGCTTACCCCGTCGTCGTGCGTCGTCCGTGACATGTCTTTATACTTCTGCGGACCAGCGTACATGTAACAATATAAAGGTTTTGCTTTTTCTATAACCCCAATTTCCAGAGAGGGGCTCCAAAAAAAACCCGGCCTAAATTTTAAAGAAACTTCTTCTTCAGACTCGGATGTACATCAACAAATAATTATATTAATGGATAGAGAGGTTCTTCGTTAGTTTTCTAAATTGCTAATTATGATACCACTGGATAATCCATTCTCCCTTTGGGTGAGGATAAACTTTACTATTGTTTACATATGAAAATTACATTTTTTTTTATTTCAGAGGGGGATCATTTTAATTAGGTTAAAATAATTATGATTTGAGGATATAATTAAGATTTCAGGATTAAAATTACTTGGTATCACAAAGTACGAAGCTGGCCAGCTCCCTGTGTTTGTGTAAGTGGGGTTTGGGGGTTGGCCAACTGGCAAAATATCTTATTTCTGATTTAAAAACAACAAATCATAAGTTTAGCACTTGTACCTTTTTATTTACATTTCCGATTATTTCAACTTCACGTTTCAACCATAACTCTTTTGTTATTATAAGTTAGATGACAGTTAAGGCCAGATGGGTTCTTGTCACAGAATTGATGTCAAATAATGACAAAACTTAGAAAAAATAACTGAAGTGATCTCTTTTCTTTATCAATTCATTTGAGAGTCACTATTTCCAATTGAAACCAATTATACTGGGGTCAGCTTTTCTGACGTCAAGTTGAAAATGACTCAGTGCCTTTAAAGCTATTGTTTTGTATATAGTGCTAGCTGAAACGTATGTGCTCTGGATTTTACCATACATGGTACATGGCCAAAGAAATATGATTTACCCAAGTCAAAGTAAAAGGACGACCATCCGACAACAGATGGTCCTCCGGGATGACTCCGTCTGGAACCTTGTTTGAATTCCAGACAAATTAGTAAATTAATGGAACAGATAGCGTGCTTATGTGGATTGAACAGAATTCACGGAGACCGGCATTTGATACCGATTGATACAAATATATAATAATAATAATATATAATATTTAAGGCTTTATTTATTCTTGATAACATATTGAGCATAAAGCTCATCTTACATATGGTCAAGATACAATGTATGATAAAATGTACAATTTACAGTTGTTACTGTGTATTAGTGTTGTCTGGGAACTCTTATAAGTTCTAAAGTTATCAGTTAGAACACTAGTATGTTGAATATGTAAGGTATCACTTTATATAATGCAACAACAATGGAGATTGTCCTCTGTTAATTGCATCACGGAGTTATATTAGAACATTGATGAATTTAATTTGCAGATGAGGTTGTTTTCTGATTGAGCGCGAAACATCCGGGGAAAAAAAAAATTCTCCATACTTTTTAGTCATTATAAACTACAGCTTTGGAGTCAAGAAGGATATACTATAGAAAAAAAACGTTTGATAGCCTATAAATGAAGTTTGCATCATAACAAGAGGCTTTGTTTGACTGCAATTTCCTGGAGAGTACCAAATTGTGGGCCTGTTCATAGAGACTAAACAGCTAGCTGTGTTTGAGAAATAATGCCATGGACGCCATTACTCTATTTTCATTTATCCCAATATCTATGATGAAGGACCCTTGTTACAAAGGAACAAAATGTGACTAAGATTAAGAGTGCGAGTGCTCATGAGGAACTCCACTAGGGAGCCAACTAGAGTTAAAACCAAATGTAATGTTGAAAAACGTGAAATTGATGCACACTCTACTGAATAACGTCTATATATTTAAAACACAAATTAAACATTACAAAATACAACAATGAAAAAGGTTATCAAAACGTCAAGTGTAACATTACTTTAACGTCATGATAATGTTAAAAAAGATTCCCGGGATATATACTCTGATGTTGAAATGTTTTGTTTTCATTAGTCATTCAACGGCTATTTTTTGTTAATCTCATACTCCTTCTCAATTATGTCATAAAGGTCAGACTTGCTACGTGCTATTTCCAGGAGATAGTTCTTGTCTGCAACTAGATTAGGATATGTTGTAGAGATGTATGCATACATGTCTTTACTTCCAGAACGACAGGCTTTGTGGAGCACGGATTCGTTATCCGTATCTCTAATGCTTCCAATGTATTGTTGACGCTCCTCTTCTCCTTTTCCTTTAAGCAACAAAGATTCTATAGCGATATAGCAATCTATGTTTCCAGATTCAACAATGCCAAGAAGGTACTGATTACTGTTCTGTGATAACAACTCTGGACATTTTGCATGAAGTTTGAAAATTTTCTCTGTGTCTCCAGATTTACATGCGTCATAGAGGGACTTTACATCTGACAAGCTATGGTTAGGTGCATAGGGATCTAGACCTCCCGTGCCTCGCTCCTGTTACAAATAAACATCAAGAGAATTCAAATTATATCATTATGTATTATGATGACAATGCGCCCATTTAACCACTGTGTAAACGTGCGTGTTTGTGAAGGCCTGTCCGCTAATAAGGTTTTCATGTCGGTGCAATTTATGATTTCATCAATAATATTATACACACAAAAATAACACTTTTTGCATGAGTGTATGCATGTCTTCTCCAAATGACTAAAGAATAAACAGATATGAACTTAATATCTATCTTTATACTATTTGTCGGATAAGCTCGTGCAGTATTGTGAAGAACAACTTTACAATAGTAAAACACTAAATGTTTCTAAACTATTTTTTTAAACCACTAATTACAGATCACTTATTTCCTTTTTCTTCCACCTGTTCAGTTCAGTTTGTGACGAAACCAAAAATGATGATATACTGATGGCTATTGATATAAGTTATGCACGAAAGAAAAGTAAATCGTACAAGTTCAAATACAACAATTTAAAACGAGTCCTTACATGAACACATATTTGTAAGCAACAAAAATGAAATATATCTAAATATGCAATGAATTGCTTCGAGTTTTTATGATTACCAATGAGCATCTTCAGAGACTGATTCTGCCTAACCAGTTATAATATATGATCTTCAAAATTTCCTCCTAAGTTTTCTGTTTGAACTCAAAACTGTTTCCCCGATTTATCTTAGGCTTAATTGAGCGTTTAATAACAAAGTGTTTCATGTAAGTTACACAAGTCAAAATCTTGATTCTTACCTCGGACCTCTCTGTTGAGACTGAAAATGATAAAGGAAAATATATATTGCTATCTGAACGATCAGCCGAATATATCAATTGTATAATGAACGTTCAATTTCGATCTTTGATTAAGTCATCTGACGATAAGAGTTCTGACAATGATAATGAAAATGATGAATATATATGAGAAAGTGATGAATTTGTGGATTTGAGTTAAATTATAAATTTTAATAAGTCAACTCAACACCATATCTTTCAAATTACTTCTATGCTCAATGACCATCGATCGAAAATCCTCGGTCTGTGACAAACGTAAACAAATATAAGGTTTGCGCGGAGGAATATCATGAACCTTAAAATTATGACGAATTTCTACAATAAGATTCATCAGTTTAGAAATATGTGATATCAACGTTTTACTTTTTACACAAAAAAAAATACGCATTAAACGTGTCGCAACGTGTCAAGACCGACTGGTCCCTTTGTCAAGCTATGACTGAGTAAGTGATGAAGTGTGAAATGTCCCGGGGAACTTAGCTATGACGAATTATTTTTTTAAATAAGCATATCTTCATTGGCTTTTCCATGTGCATATATACGCTTAAAATTAAATTACGTTCACAATAATTTGGTAACTTTATACTGATGTGTTTATGACGGACTATTTTCTGACGCGGATCACTTTTGTGTGGATTCTATGTCCGGCTAAGGACGTCACGTGGCGCGGGCAAACGTTCCTTTTTGAGAAAAATACGTTCTCAAATACCGGGAAATGGGGAAATTCTTTCTAAAGTTCTTCTCAAGTTGTTCTCAAATTGTTCTAAACTTTCTCTTGAGTTTTCTCATACCGGCATTCCATGAAAATTAATTTATCAAGCTACCAGTACGTGGTATAAAGTAGTATATTGATGATACAATGTTCTGTCTTACACATTAAATATTAATATAAGATTTATTCAAGAGAGAAAAATATCATTTTGAAGTAATTTAAAACTTCACTCTTTGTTACGTGTCCATATTATACAAGAGAAATGTATTAGTAAATGGTATTGGGTAAAGCAATTGAAATAAAATAGTAACTGTGTTCCAGGAAGGAAAATGTAATATTTGTAGATTTATTTTTAAACAAACTTTCATTTAAAGAATATTTAATTATTTCTTTATGATTACTAAGTTTTGGTGTAAGAGTATTATCTTTTATGGTTAAATAAAATGATATATTTGGGAAGCTTACAACAACATGAATGTAAAGCACCATGTTACTGATACCCTTTCCTAGTACAACAAGCATGATAATAGACTGATAATGAAATTCCGAAAAAATAATCAAAGTATAAGAGTACATGAAATGTTATTTTCTGCTTTTAGTGAAACACTATAAATTGACTAATCATAAATTACAGTCCAAGTCATTGAATCATCAATTTCAGAAAACAAGAATTTGAGGATTGATTAAGATAGTTTATAATAAGTCAAATATTTTATTAGCAAATACTGTGGATTATGTTCAATGCTTATTGAAACCTTGATTTGGTAGATGGGATTGCATGTTTTGATGATTCGAAGAGCTATGCACGATAAACACAAACACGTCACACCTGACATGTGATGGGACAAAATGGAAGCATTCTATAGTCATTTTTATAACAGGCATTTTCCTAGGATTCATTGTGACACAGGAGAGAAAAGTATGTCTGCCAAAATTTTATTAAATTTACATCAACCACTAGAACGTATTTAATAAAACTATTTTTTTATTTGTTGGTGCTTTATTATGCAGAAGACTTTGAGTCTTGATACAATATTTATTAATACAAACAGAGTTATCATATACTTTATAATGTTGCTATGTGTAAGAAAATCGTACTTTACATGAAGTTTTGATAAGTATAAAGGCGTGTTTTAGTTTTGAGTGAAGAAATTGAAATGCATTATTAACTTACCAGTCATGCTGATGGGTTCAGTTTCTGAGGCAGAAATATGAAAATAACAATGGTTATAATTGTGTGTAGAACTTATTTAATGTAACTTCTCTATTGGTATAAAACACACCTAAGCTTTTTTTAATTCTCGAGTTATACTTTGTCGAAGACGTTGAATCGTGATATAACATTGATTTTACTAAGAACTATATCATTCATTAAATTATTTAGAACTTTAAATGTATAAGCCGTTCGTATTGACCAGAAGTATTGATCATTAGAAACGTGTTTAAGTATTTGATACAGAAATTTAAATATAATATATGCTTACCAGATATTATGTTGATGGCTGCTGCATCTAAGGCTGGAAAATGATATATCACAATGGTATGATTAGATTCAGAATGGTATCATTTATATAATATTTAAGTTTTTCACTTTGATATATCACTTCTGGTTTACGAGTATTATCTTTCACATATTACGAATGTAATGATATATTTTGTTAATAATTTGAAGTATGTATTATTTTTAGTCAGTAAAATCTATAGCATCTAAGGAGGATGTTGTGAAGACATTGTTCACATTCAGTTGATGATTATCAGGTCGTTATATGTTTCAACTTTGCATACAGCGGAACGCTGAAACTGTACTGAATTACAGGTCATGGAATAAAATAAATCTTAGTATGACAACAGTAAGAAACTCACTGCAGAAGTAAACACTTAAACAAATATTATAGTAAACAAAGCGGTTGAAATTTGTTCAGTTAGATGTCGATGAATTAAGGGTGTTTAGGATTATTCAATAACAAACATATTTCAAATGTATAAGAAAGATATGAAACAATATTTAATAATGACTAAAGAAACACTTTTAACTTGCTAATCAGAAATGTTAGTCCAAATCATATTGAATCCACAATTTCAGAAGACACGAATTTGAAGATCAAGGACAATAATAAAATACTTTGGAGTGCAAATAATGTAGATTTTGTTCAATTATTAATAAAACCTTGCTGTGGTAGATATGATTGCTGGTTTTGATGATTCTAAGAGCTGTGCGCAATAAGCACGAACACCTCCGATTTGTCAAAGGAAGGAACCAGACGAAAGAAATATATGCTCTATTTTATACTGGGCATTTCCTATTTGCCATCGTGACTCTTCACCGAGAAATCAGTCTGCCGTCAATTAAGAACAACCATAATAATGTATACATGGAACTACTCTTTATGTATGAAACATAATAAAGCTATCAATTGTTTTGTATATGTCTTTTTGGTGTTATATTTTGTTGAAGACGTTGAATATTGACATAACATTGATTTAACTAGGAAAGCTATCATATATTATATTATAATAATTTAAGTATGTGTAAACCACTCTTACTTTACCAGAGGGAATGCGTTTAAGGAACGCGTGCTTAAGTATCAGATGAATGATAATTGAAATATTTATTTATGCTTACCAGTTATGTTGATTGGTGGTTCATCTAAGGCAGGAAAATAAAATATCACAATGGTATTAAATTTGTATTAAGTATGTGTTACTTATGTAATAAAATATCACACTATCAGATAAATTTATACATTTGAATTATTAAATTCAGAAAGATATAATTTTTAAATTTTATTTTTTTTCACTTCGGTAATTTACTTCTGGTTTACGAGTTTCATCTTTCACGATACGAATGAAATGATATATTTGGTTAACAATTTGAAATATGTATTATTTTTTCTCAGTCAGTCTATAACTTCTTAGGCAAAAATTGTGGAGACATGGTTGAAATTCAATTGTTAATTATCAGGTCGTGATCAAAGATATATATTTTCAATTTTACATACAGCGGATCGCTAAAACTGTACTGAATTACAGGTCATGGAATGAAATAAATGTCAGTATGACAACAGTAAGAAACTCGCTGCAGAAGTTTACACTTTAACAAATATTTCAGTAAACAAAGCATTTGAAATTTGTTCAGTAAGATGTCGTTGAATTAAGGATGTTTAGGATCATTCAAATAACAAATATTTTTTGAAATGTGTAATAAAGATATAAAACAATAATTAATGATTACTATAGAAACGCTTCAAATTGACTAATCGTAAATTTTAGTCCAGGTCAATTAAATCAACAATTTCAGAGGACACGATTTTGAAGATCACGGAAAATAGTGTATACGATGTGAAATATTTTGGCGTGCAAATAATGTAGATTTTGTTCAATAAATATTAAAACCTTGCTGTGGTAGATAGGATTGCTGGTTTTGATGATTCTAAGAGCTGTGCGCAATAAGCACGAACACCTTCTACTTGTCAAAGGAAGGAACCAGACGAAAGCAATCTATGCTCTGTTTTATACCGGGCATTTCTGTTTTGCCATTGTGACTCTTCATCGAGAAATCAATCTGTCGTCAATTTACAACAACCATAAGAACGTGTACATGTAACTACTATTTATGTATAAAACAAAACAAATTTAACACTTGTTTTGATGGTTTTTTGGTGTTATATTTTGTTGAAGACGTTGAATAGTGACATAACATTGATTTAACTAGGAAAGCTATCATATATTACATTATTATAATTTAAGTATGTGTAAACCACTCTTACTTTACCAGAAGTAATGCGTTTAAGAAAAGCGTGTTTAAGTATCGGATAATGAAAATTGAAATATAATTTATGCTTACCAGTTATGTTGATAGGTGCTTCATCTAAGGCAGGAAAAATAAATATCACAATGGTATTAAATTTGTATTAAGTATGTGTTACTTAAATAATATGAGATTACCTTATAAGATGAATTAGTATATTTGAATTATAAAATTCAGAAAGATATCATTTATAAAATATCTAAGTTTATCACTTTGATAATAAACTTCTGGTTTATGAGTATTATCTTTAACGAAAAAGAGTATAATATAATTTTTGGTAAAAAATTATGTATGTACTATTTTTGTCAGTCAAATATATAGCTTTGTAGACAGGAAGTTTTAAAGACAAGGTAAAAATAAAATTGACATTTATCAGGTCGTTATTCAAGATACATATTTCAATTTTACATACAGCAAAACGCAGTAAATGTACAGAATAACAGGTCATATTTATTCAGTTAAGTATGGTATAAATAGCTAAGTTATTTGAAGGACGTACATGTATGTGTGTGATGTTTGTGTCTTTGTTTTGTTAAGGCTGTATATTGAAGTATTCGTCTCCTAGCGAAAGCACATATCTAATGCCGAATTCAGAGTGATACAGCACTGAAATACCATGCCGAAGGAATCCAGCACAGATCTTCGTTGAAGTAAATCAACCGCAACGCTAATTCTAAATGCTTAACGTTTTGCATGGAACAATACAATTTTAATTGACTCGAGTATGTTGCAGCCCAGGGCAGATGTATGCTAATTTAATCTTCTTGCTTAATATCCTACCTGAAGGCAGCTTAATTCAAGACTGATGATCAATGTTTAGCATTTGTCAATTAATTTCACATTCCCATCAATAATGTTTTTAAACAAAAAAAGTGTAGTGTAATGTATGCTAGTAATTACCTGTATTTGTACCAAATGTGTGTTACCTGTATTGTGACGTGTAAAGGATTGCGTGTTATTATGAGGGTTCATTCATGCGTATATATACCGCTGGCCGTCGGTCGGTCTCACTCTCTCGGAGAGCAGACCAGCGACCAGCGAGTTATATACAGGTGAGCGAGACAATAGAGCTAAACACTCAGTGACGTGAGGAAAACCACTGGACCAGAACGGCAGAGGGTTTACGTCGGTGGGTGGGCACGGGTTGTCGTCAGGTACGCCGCAGGGGCGTTTGGGTACGTCAGAGCCTCTGGTTGGATCCTCCTCATGGCACCGAGTGAATGTCACTATTATGACGTTAACGCCGGCGAAGAATGTTATTGGGTACCCACATACTAGGTCGCACTATTCCTAAACGTTGTTGTCAATATTGCCAATGCTTATAAATGTTGGAAACGATCAGTTCAGTGTTATGTATATATTTTGTCACACTACAGACTCCAAGGATATAAAACGTACGTCACTTTACGCTAGAACCTGGAAGGACAACGGTGTATGACTAAGGACGTGAACCGTTACAGTAGTATTGGTAATAATTGAGTCTATTGACAGCTTAGGTCACTTAAAAACGTACCTTTATGTGTGTTATGTATGCGAGCATGTGCGAATGAGTGTCGAAGACAGGGTATGGTGGTGTATTTTCCTTCTTGAGTTAAACGCGGACATGATGCCACTATCACAGGGTGGAAATTACACCGAAATACCTTGCCTCCAGCACACATACACAACACATGTAGGCACGTCCTTGAATAACTATATTAGCTGTTGATAAGATGTTAAACAAAATAAAGCCAAACAAAACCTTGATTTCGACTTGATAGTGCTATATCTCTGAAACACCATGCAAAAAACATCAAAGGAAAGCATTCCGATTGGTCAAGTCATACTAACAACGCTTTAAGCGGTTGTTGTCATTACCTTTAATGCTGAATGTTAAGCAGGGAATTAAACTACCATATCTAAGGACTTTGGTATGTTCTGGCACGGGACATCTGGGCGGACGTTTAACATTAAAGTCAAGAGAGAACTGCTGTAGAAAACTGGAACAGACAGGGAGGAGTTTAAGAAGTACCGCCCAGTGTAAAATTGGGTCCAGGCTTTTAGAGGTTCATCTCCATACGAAGTAATCAAGACAACCTGCAACTGGCCTATCAAACGAGGTACTCTACTGAGACGGCCCTCCATTATGACATAGCGAGACTTTGGTGCATTAACTTGTTACTTCTCAGTTTGACTGTTATGCCCTGCTCTGTGATATATCTAAAAAAAACTAACTAGTCGTCTGCAAAGGGCCAAGAACACTGTTATCCGCACCCAAACCAAACAAATGCAGCAAAGCTGCTGGACACCAGATATTTTGATAAAAATCACTTATTGAGATTCAAAACAACACCCTGGAGCAGATATGCACTTCTGAATTTATTCTTCGAATATTAATGGCATTACTTTTATCTTTCATGATATTCTGTTTACACACAGTATCCACATATGTTGCACTGTTGTCATTCAATATATTTCTTAAGACCCTAAAATGTAAAGTTTTACTGCATGTTTAAATGACAACAGTTTGAAAATAACGTCATATTCTGAGAGAGAGAATGCAGTACATGCTTTATATAAAATATAAATTATACCTATCGTGATTTTAACAAATATTTCATTTGATAATGCATTTTTAGATACGAAGACACTCTACACCATAACGCTAGTTTTCTGGTTGTTATAACATATGCGTTTTAAACGGGTTAAATATATCTTGTGTTCAACGAAAAAACAAATACATGTTTCTTGTTTTACAATAATAAAAAGTTAATGGACTCAAATAGTGCTACATCAGAAAAGTGCTGGAATTTGTAGCGTGCTATTTAACGCCATCTTTTAATGACGTAACGCTTGAACATTCCAGAGCGCCATTTTAAAAGGATCTTAACGCAATTTTGACGTTTGCTGCTATTATCTGTTTAGATTTCCAAACAAAAATGGCATCATTTGACAAGTTGAGAAAATACCATAATGTATGTTGCAACTGTGGATCAGAACAGCCACTTATTTTGCCGGCACCTCATCTGTACTTTGCAGTGAAAAGAATGTACCGTTGTGATTGAACAATACTCAGAGTGGGATCTCCATGTGTGAAAATTTAACATTCGTATATCTTGACCGCAGTGAAGATGACATATTTTATCAAACGAAAAATGAATGATGATAGGGTTTCCTATTATATTTTTGTAGATATTATGCGGTCGTAGTTTCCCAGAAGGTTTTCACGCTTAAGGAAGTATCGGAAGTAAACAAAGTGTTTATATATCAAACCCATGAGGCGCTTACGGGTTTGAAAAAAAGAACAAATAAACCAGTGTTATCTGTATTGCACTGGTTATCAATATTAAACAGGTCGAAGTACAAATTTTTTGTATACACATATATATGCAGTGAATGATTACTGTGGTCAGCGACAGAATCCATGTTGTGCCTTCCAAACTCACGCATAGTGGCATACGGAAATCGGTGCTTTGAGAGGGTTTCGGCTTCGTTTCGGTTTTGTTAGCTGTAGGGAATTTCCCTTTAGCTCAGTGGTAGAGCATCTGGCTGGAGAAAGAAATGGTCGCGGGTTAGAGCGGACAGCGACGGCTTTATCTTTATCACTATTCCCCGTATTATTACAGTCTCGTGCTTGGTGCTTTTTGTATGGTATTGTATTGAGGTACTAAAAAATCGGCATCAGATCAACACTATCGGAGAAACAAAAACAGAAAATCATCACGATACCAACAACGGCATAGACACATGGATTGCACGTAAAGAGGCACGCATGTGATGAACTTAGTTCTTATTAAGACGCTTAGCCCAAAGATAAATATACTAGTGATTATCCAACTATCTGTCGTTGGAAGATTAATATCAAACAGAACAGATGTTATTAAGATACACA